TTTAGATACTCAGATCCTGGCACCTGTTTATGGAACTCATTTTTAAGCAGCAAATTCAGATCCCAGGGTCTAGGCAAAGGACATTTGTCTCTAACCTTGCTCCCCAGTTCATGATTCATTAAACTCTGGCCACTGTTTTTCTTGAGATTGTAGACAGTAATTTTTTTTTGCATGTATCTGTCTCCATTTTGTATACATTTATGGAATCCAGCTCCTAATATATCTGTTATCCTACTGAGACAAACGGGTGAGTCTAGAACACAGTGTATTGCTTTAGAGAACTTGAGTCAGACTCCTAATTTCAAAGTGAGTCATTTATATTTATCATCAAACAAAACTACATTGGGGTCAAAGTCTGTGGAGGATTTTGCAGTTACACTGAGGATAGTGAGACATGGTGAAGATGATATAGGAAAAAAAAAAAAGTATAATTACCTCCCATTCAGATAGGAAGAGTGTTTCTGCCCCACTCTGAAAGCCTGCTAGTAATAATTCAACTAAAGCAACACTCACCCTGCTGCAAGAGAAAGGACAATGGTAGATGGGGAAACATTGTAGCTTTAACTGAGTTAGCTCAGTGTCAGTGACCAGAAAGCTATGGAGTCAGAAGTTAGAAGGCCAAAATAATCAGGTAAGCTTGTACAGTTCCATACAGCAGAGATGCTGCCTTTGAAACCTAAGCTAAAGGCTGGCTGGACATGCTGCCATCCTGCTTTTTTACTGCGGTGTTAAACAGTACCCAATATTTTGGCTGGAGCAGGTGGCTTGATGTCTGAATTACTCAAAACCTATATGTTACAACTCCGTTTAAGACCAGAAAATCAGCACCTTATGGCATAAAACCCAGACAACCCCTCTCATATGATATGAAGGCCACACCACAAAAACACTTGCTGTACATTCAAAACCTGGACATCCATCATCTTAAAATACATGCCTGCTCATGCTATTTGTTATCAGTTTGCTCAGGTAAGGTAGCTGCACCCTGCATGGAGCAATCATTATCTTATTGAACATGAGCCTCTTTCTTGGTGGAGGAAGTTTGTATTTTTAATGCATAATGGCAACCATCTGTGAGGATCTCCAGAAAGATCCTGCATTAGCTACAATTAGGTACATTTCATCTGGCCAGAATCAGTGGAAACCAAGCAAAGAATAAATCAGAAAGTAGGATCACAATTACTCAAGGCCTAAGAAAATTTCACATAGAACAACCACTGGACTTTGCCTCAAGAGACATAAAAATAAGTTATTGCTAATCTTTTATTTTTTAACTTTTTTTCCATATAGGATGAACACCAGCAGAATTTTGTTTAATGTTTCCATCATGTGAATCACTTCAAAATGCTTTCAGCTTTGCCAAATATTAGTTGTTGAGACATTTCTTTAATAGCACTATAAAAGGTGAGATAGTTCTTTCAGTGAAATTGGAAAGAAAATATCTTCACAATGCAGATTCATGTATCCTCTTTCAGTTTGAATGCTTATAACAACAAAAACCTCACCATTTAATAGAAAAATACATTTTTTGTCTGCTTATTGGAAAAAGTTTTACAGTATTATTTCCCTAATCTACAAGTTTAAAAAACAACAGGCAAAAATGATGAATCTCTGTTGTTGGGTTTTTTAATAGGGAGATTAAAAACTGGTTTTGTGTTTCTTTAAAAAGTATGGTGGTAATACTGCAGCATTAAAATGTATTTCCAGCCAGTTTTTTTGAGAACTTCTGCTACAAAAATGGATCGTGTAAAGTAGGATGCTCAGGCAATATACAAGTTTGAGTCTTGTTGCTCCTGTTTAAATTTATTGAAATCTGGCCATTCAACACTTCTCTAAAATAATTTCTAGATATGCTCAGAAAAAGCTTCTTATCAGCTTGTAATAAATACTTAGAGAGCTGCCATGTGTTGCCTGTGTTTCTACTTTAGCAGCCCCTTCAGCGCAGTTAATACTAAGAATTGCTGAGACACCCAAAACTGAAAGCAGGAGAGGAAGCAAAGCCCTTCTGCTGGTCCCAAAGCAGTCAGAGAAAGCAGCTGAACTTCAGTTGGAGGTAAGGGTCAGAAAAGGAATGATAGTAGGTTCAGAAGCAAAATAAGAGAGGCAAAGTTGCAAACTTGGAATTTGAACTAAAGAGTGTGAATATAGTTATTCAATGTTTCTTTAAACTGTCCTCTGTCAGTATTTTGGTCCCAAATATTCTTTACAACATATCTTTCCAAGTATGCATTAAGTACAGAATGATTAATTTCCTCAGCTTTTTTTTTTCTTTTAAATCCTTAAGGCCTTTAGTAATTCACAACATCATTTGCCTCTCCTCATTACCACCTCTGGGAAATGAGGTACATTATTTGTCTTTCAAAGACATTAACAGAGGAACAGGAGATACAAGTGACCACTGGCAGAAATGTCTTCTCACCCAGCATTTCTAAGATATTTCTAAGGTGGATATTCATGAGATGAGAGAAGGAACAAGAAATTGATTTATTCGAGTGACTTCAGGAAGCCTCTAGAAAGGAGGCCCTGGGATTCCTGATGCCTGCTTGGCAAGCTGGGACTGAGGGCAAAGAGAGAGAGCTCTGATGGGCAAGAGCCCCCTTCCACTCAGGGCCAGGGTCTGCAGCTGCAAAGGATCCACACGGGTTTGGAGAAGTTGTAGGAGCATGTCTATGGCCTTAAAACATTGGAAGCAACACAGTAAAAATCTTGCTTGAGATTTTTCGTGCTCCAGTGAAGAGCTGAGTGCATAACAGGATTACGATTGCATTTCTTGCTACCAGGTATGAGTCAAGCAGATAGACTATATTGGATTTCAGTGTTCTCTCCATCCCTTTGGTGGGAGAGTTTTTAGGGCTAGCTGGGGATGGAGTAGGGCTGCAGGTAGTGACCACAAAAATCTATTCATCAAGGTCTGAGATGAAATCAAGGAAGCAGCACTGGCAGCATAACCGATGCTGGGCTCTTGCTGCAGGGTGGGTACACTGGTCTCTGCTGTTGAGATCTAATGCTTATATGAGTATGATGTACACTTCAATGAGAGTAATTCAGTACTCAAAAATAACAAGAAAGCTTTAATAGCCCCTATACTTAAGTTTCACACAATATAGGGAGAGTCAGCTTTCTCTTAGGGTCAAGTTTTGCTTGAACTCTTCAGAAATACCCAACTTTATTCCTAGTGAAAGGTAACTGGATCATGCTTTGATATGATATAGCCATTTATGTGACTCTATTTCCCAAGACCTAATGTTCACAATAAATGTACTCAAAATCTGTAAGAATTCTGCTTCAATAATTTCTTTTAAGGGCTATAATAACTCAACTGATCTTATTTTTTTTAAGCAGAAGTGTTAATCTAAAGACTGCCTTTGAAGCTACATGCCCATTTGACCTCCTAACAGCATTTTATGAATACTGCAAAATTTCTGTGATTACAGATATTATTTTTTCTCTGAAAATTGTTGCAGTCTAAAAATCAAGAGAAGAGAGCCAGGTATTTATCCACTTGCCTAATATTGAGAATGTGAGTCATCCCATTGACATGTCTGTTTGTTGTTGAAGTGGGGCCTATAGACATATGAGAGCATCATTTATTTAATGCATTTATCACCAGAGGGAATTGTAGATCATTTGAACATGATCATTCATCATTTCTCCAGAGCTGTTCAATAATGAAGGAACCTATACCATCTAGTGAAGAGACCTTTCAGATGTTGCAATGGCTCAGCCATAACCAGGTATGCATATTGAAAACATTGATCAGAAAAATGCAGCTAAGCAGGCAACCTGCAGAGATGGCGAGAATGTGAGTGAACCTTCGTGTTTCACTTGTATCTATGGAATCATTTAACGCCAACACAGCATCAAGCATTCAAATCCCAACAGGCAATTTTCTGTTGTTTCAGTAATCACCACAAAAAGAAAAAAGTTTGCCTTTACACAGGTGTGTGAAAATTTTGATGAAGTGCTACTTACCACCTTATAATAGAAAGCAACAGGGAAAAAAATGATTGCACATTCTCTGTTTTTTCACAAACTGGTTACTGAACCCCTTCTCTGATCTATGACTTTGTAAGTCAGTGCATTTCTGTGTTGGTTTTTCCAACTAAAACCATTCTTGGTGTATTAAGAGAAGGTAAGAAAAAAGACCAGAAGGTTTGAAAAAAGAGTCAGGGGGTGCTGCATGAGCTTCCCACCTCCTGAGTCATTCTGCTGTCTCTCCCAGTGGGTATCATGCTTCTAAAAAAATAATGAAAGGAATATTTTTTTCTCTCTCATGCAATATGGAATGAAGTTTCAAAATTAAAATTTCATTCTTATATATATAAAACAATTCAAAAAACATATGTGTTTCATATGGTATATGCAGCAATGCAAAACCATGTTTAGTCACAGACAAGTCCTCCATTCTGTCTTCCATCAGGGAGAGGCTGTTTTGGGAGATGAGGGAGGGGAGAATCCTATAAATCTCCTATGCCTCACAGAAAAAAAAATGATGAATTTAGGAAGTAAAGAGAGCTTCACACTGAAAATGCTATAAAGAAGCAACAGTACATCTCTGCATCAAAATTGTGCAATCCCAGGGTTGCAGTTTTGTGCTTTAAAACACACTCCAATTTATATTCAGAATACAGCACCAATATAGCCTCCAGTAGAAAAAGAAAACACTTGTGGATGACCACCTTAAAACAACAGCAACAAATTACCTCAATTAAGATGAAAAACACAAACTCAAAAGTAATTGTTATTACAAACATGCAAGGTTAAAAAGCATAGGACTAGAAACCTGCAAAGAGCAACATTATTTTTCATTATTGTGCTAAGACCCAATTAAATGCTGTGAAAAATCCGTGCAGTGGCAAAGATGGCTATTATTTCCTCTCCTCTTGCTCTATTAATATTAATTGAAAACTAGGTGTGGCACCACAAGAGAGGAATCTTGGTAAAAACCAGCTAAAATTTGTTGGTTTGTAGCATTTTAATTAAATATAAGGTTGTCTTACCTGATTGAAAGAGAATTAAAAATCATAGCATAAGAAATATCCATACACTTGTAGATAGATGATGAGAGCCTCCTTCTACTGCAGGTACAGGTTCCTGGGCAAAGAAGCTTGTAAACTCTTGATTTCACTGAAATGAAAAAGGAAAGAAATAAAGGACCTCCCCATAAAAGCAACAAAGGAACCTCTGCAGTATTCTGTAGTCTCTTCGCCTGCTTCCTGTTCTGAGATTCATTCCTTGAATCCCAGCATCGATCAGAAAATTGGTTGTGGGGGAAAAAAGGAGGGGGGAGAGCGGAGAGGGAGGAAACGAAGCGGCAGCGGATTCCGTGCTGGCTCCACCTCCTGGCAGGACCGAGCGCGCTGGAGCCCGCACACCCTGCCCGCGCAGCTTGTGCGCCGCGTTACCCTCCAGTACACAGCTTTAAATACAGGAACACTGAGCAGTGCTCACCAGTGCTTGAAAACTGGCTTGACATATAAAGTACACAACATGATTTGTTTTTCTTTTTAATCACAATGAGGTAAGTATTTGAATACATCAATGTACGTGTAATTGCAGAAAACTTGATGTTCTGTCTAATACCTTTATTTTACTATGAACTAAAGCATGATCTGTTTAGAAATAAAGAAATAATTCTTTATGCAGAATTCTCCACTACAGAATGGTAAAAAATAAGAGTGCTGGTTTTTTTTCCTTTGATTATTGATCCTGCAAAACACAAATGACATTTATATACTTACTAAAGTCCAGAGGGGGAAAAAAGTTAAGTAAGACAGAGGGAATGGATGCTTGGATGTATCCAGGACCATTACATTATTATAATAAAGTATCCTTACGTTATTTAAAGTACATTTATTGTAATAAAATATTTTAAAACTCAATAAAGAGTTTTTAGGGTGATCTGTTCTACTTTAATCCAAGGCTCCATCTCATTTTATAGCATCTTAGAGCTGATCTCTGGTGTTCTGTATACTATTAGTTGTGAAAGACAAATGTACAAATTGACTGCCTCACCCCAGTTGTCTCTAGGCACAATTCCTATAATAGCAGTGTTGGATTTAGTGTTACTAAAGGATACCTTATACTGGAATGCTGTGTAGCTGACTGTTTCTACTTTTATCTTCTATTTCTATCATGTACACCTGCTCTGTCACATCACACAGCTAGCAGCCACCTGCATGTGGGGTTGGCTTAGCAATTCTCAGCTGTGGAGGAAAATTTAATCATACCAAAACATGGGGCCTGGGGAAGGAAAAAGTGCAAAATTAACTAGGAATGTATCTAGATGAAAACCGTGGACTTTAGAATTAGGATCCATGGTCTAACTCATCACAAAAATCAGTGTTGTCAGCACAAGGGAGTAGCTGAAGAGACAGTCCAATTGAGTAACGACAGATATTTGTGTCAGCTTAAACCACTCATCACGGTTATCCCAAAGCCTTGGAGTGTCCCAGGAAAATGATCCATTTTCATGCTTGTTCAACCCCTACAATGGGATCTTGGACCCTGAAAGGACTCCAAAATACTAAAATAGTGCAAGCAGTGATAATAGTAGGTCAAAACACCTATAGTGTGAGCATGGACTGAGCATCTTAGAAATCCTTTTTTCACCAAAAAATGTGCTCTAGTTTGGCTCTGAGGAATTTTTTTCCTTAAAATACTGCTATATACAGAACTACTCATCCTTGAAAGGGGTTTCCCTGCTAAGCGCCGCCGGTGTTACCGTCAGCTGGCGCTGTCCGCGGTGCTGGAGCTCGGCCTGGCTCCACTCTGTCCTCAGCGCCCGCGCTCCCCACTGGGGCACGCAGCCCGAGCTACCTGGGAATATACTTTGACAGCTTTGTATAAATACGAAAATACATCATGGATACATTTAGGCCTAGATGAGATCGAAAACGCTGAATCTGATATTTGAAAGCCTAATTAAAAAGTCACTTTTTGAATGTATTTTTTGCAAAATTATCATTTAGTTGGAATATGTATTTTTAAAAGTTTTAATATGAATTCAGCTTCATTAACTAACCAAGAACTACGCTATCTAAAAAAAATAAATAATAATTTCAATTAATAAAATCTGTAATATTAAAAGCGAGATAAAGCTGTTAAAAGAAATTTGAAAATTGTATGAATCTTTATAACTTATCATAGTACTAATATGTAATTCTTTGCAAGAGAGTAGTAATGTAGATAAACATGTACTGGTAATAAACATTAATTTAATCTGCATTATAAAAAATATACAGAAATTCAGAGAGCCTTTTATTCTGTAATCTCAATCCTTTTACTCACTTTTCACTTCTATAATCTGTATGTATATAGCAATTACATCTTAGAGGTAAAACTCATTGTCAAAGTGAGATTTGGTTTGCTGTATCTTCCGTGAAAAGTACAATTAAAATGAGATATTATAAGATCTCACATATACCAAAATAAAGTGCCACAGTAAATAAAAGACAATAGACTTAACTGCTGAGATCCTCAGGAGTTTTCTAAGTTTTTTTTCCCCATAAAAACTGGATTTTTCACAAAGTGGCACAAACTTTCAAACAGCTACACGCCTGTGAGAAAATAAGGAGTTTCTCCACAAAAATTTCAGAAGAGATCCAGAGAGATCCTAGGAAATCCCTCAGAGCTGAGTCTAGATCTGTTAAAGCTATCCAAAATCACCTACAAACATGATTTATTAATGGTTTTATTAATCATTTTAATAGAAATTATAGGAACTCCATAGGAATGAAAACAAATATGCATTGAACAAAGCTAATTTTCTGATTTTTTTCAAAGTCCTAAAACTAGGATAGCTGGAAGAATTTTTCTGCTTATTCAACCATGCTGATAGAGCTCATTTCTACCAGAAATTTCTCTTTGCCTCTTAGAGCATGGCTAACAGTCATCTGCATAAAAAAATAACCATTCTATTAAATCATGCAAAAACATTTGCCCAGAAGAGATGGAGCAAAAGGTCAAACTCCAGTTTCCACAGTGCATGGGATGTTAAGCTTAAGGAGCAATGCTTGGAGCTATTCTGGCCAACAGATACTTATGTACGCCTGTCGTTTACATGCCTCAAAGAAATAGCTGTTTCACATATGTAGAACTCCTTCTTTTCCTTTTCATTTTTTTTTTTTTTTAATTCACAAATCTCTTAAGTCTCAAACTCTAGACCTAAATCTGTAAATTGCCAAGGCAAAAGACAGGTCTCCAGTTTGAACAGTAGTTTATTATGTGTCATCTTTTTAAAAGACATAAATTAATCTCAATCAGAAGTTATTAGCTTTTGTTTAGTTCTTATGAAATCACAAAGGCTATTATTCTTGCCTTTAATGTCTGAGAGTCACTTCTGCAAATTACTTATTGAAGTGAAACTGAACTTTAATGTTATTCTAAATATGAAGTATATTCTCTTCCCAGTTCCAGTTACTTTAAGAGAAACTTCTTTGGTGACTTCTAATCATTAGCATTTTTTGAATTTTGTTACATCTCATTCAGATCTAAAATCTTTGCATCTGAGGTGTATTAATGCAGGCTGCCAGATTTTACTGCCGCCTGAAGAAAAAAGCTTTGGAATTTAAAAGGTTTCTGAATATTTTTCTACATAATGAAAACTCTTTGGTCTTGGTAGTTACTTTTGAAGAAGGGACTATTTTATATCACATTTATAATATTTTCAAACTTTACAGCCAGTAATGCCTGAGGCTAGCACATTGGTCCCTTTTAATGACCAATGCTGGATACAGTTTTGACAAGGAATAAGTACAATGGTTTTAGAAAGAACATGTCACATCAATCTTTGCTCTCTGTGACATTGTACACCTGTACTTTACAATTCAGTGCAGCAAACAGTTGACATGTTCTGTATCCTTATCATTCTTGGACAAAAGCAGATCAAGTTACAATTATTTTTCTTTAACATGCTAGAGTAAATTGTTTGAAATGTTTTGTCATCTCAGTGCAATATATTTTCATAGTTTAGTTATAAAGTTTAGTTAGAGTTTAGTTATAAAGACACTATTTTTAGTGCAGATAACTGCTATATGTACTATGAGATGCAGAGAAACTTTCTAAAGCAAAATCAACTTGGCAAGAATATGTTATTAAACAGAGCAATTATTCTAGGCATTCCAGCTTTTAAAGATTAGCAGATAAATAAATCATAACTTGAGGTTTGCTTAACAAAACCTCCCCTCTCTCCAAGTGATGATTACCCTTCATCTGACCAATTAAACCACATGACTCAGTAGCAATAAATGGAATGAAAACATATGAATGCAATCTCTCTGTTTATAGGTGTCCTGGGAGAACATTATTAGATTTTGTTACTAGCTCTGAGAGCACACTAGTGCACTTGTTGCTGAGGTATCATTTAATTCATTTCTCCACCTCTTAAAATCTGCCTACCTTAAATTGTATTTGTTCACTCTGAAATTGATTGCTTTCATTTCATCTTTGTTTATTGGTCTTGGAATATATATGTTAGATCCTTTTTGAATATGTCCATTGTCCTGTAAACATATTGTGCTTGAAACAATAGCTTCCTAGTCCTGGCTGGGCTCTTTGGACATTACATGGAATAACAAAATATTTCTTCACCCTTGATCTCTACAGTTTTGTTGCCTAACAAAATGAATTTATACTATAGTCTCTTCTTACTCAGTTCAGATTATTAATTGAAAAGCTACTATGTCAGGTCTATGGCTTATAAATATGCATTAGTAGCTGGTACGAAATTTATTAAAAGCAGGTGTTTCTTTTATTTGACACACTAGGGATAAAATGAAAAAAAAAACAAAAAGAAAGAGAAACTGAAGAGATTTATACACTTATGTCAGCCAGTGTTGAACTTAAAGTCATGTCATTACACTTAGCTAAATAGTGCAATTTCGGTCTCTTTCAAAAGGTAATGTTGGTAAGTAGTTGTAGGAATAGTTATAATATGTTTTATATCTTGTTGTCTTTAAGTATGTTAGTTCACAAAAGTGCCTGAGAATTACTAAGGAGAATTGTTGTAAAAAAATAATTGTATTAATAAAATAAAATATTTTATGTTAAAACAAGTTGATGACTTAATTGTTGAAAACTTACACGTGAGCTATGTACAGGGCCTGCCCTTATGAAACCCCATACAAGGGCTGTATTCATTCATATTTAACACTTCAAAATTATTTTTCTCTTTGGAACTAAGGTATTTCAACATTTGTATTTCAGCTGTTTAGTTAAAAATGACTGGATAGCTTTGCATTTATTCAGTCTTAC